GGTTCTCCCCATCCCCTTTCCATTCCTGGTAACCATCAATGAATGTTGCTTTGTGTGTGTGAACCAATTCTTGACTTTTTATAAAAGTGATGTCATACAATTCTTTGTCCCTTTTGTGATGGACTTAGTACACTCAGCATAATGTCTTCTGGATTCAGCCATGTTAAGTTTCGTGGACTCATCATTTTTGGTTGTGTAGTATTCCATTTTATGTAGGTACCATATTTCATCTATTCATCCATTGTAGACACTTAAGTTGTTTCCATCTTTTTGCCATTGTGAATATGCTGCAGTGATATGAGTGTGCATATGCCTATTCATGTCACTGCCATTATTTATTTCTCTAGGCTTTGTAAACTACCAGTGGGAATACTGAGTCATATAGTATTTCTATTGATAGCTTTTTGAGAAAGCACCATACTGTTTTCCATAGTGGTTGTACCATTTTACAATTCCAGTAGCAGCATGTAAGAGTTCCAATGTCCTCACAACCTCACCAGCATTTCTTGTTTTCTGATATATTTTTTTTTTTTTTTAGTGCTGTTAGTGCCAAGGTGAGATGGTATCTCCTTGTAGTTGACTCGCACCTTTCTGATGGCTAATGGTCACAAGCACCTCTTCATATGTTTGTTAGCTGCCTGAATGTCTTCTTTGGTCAAGTGTCTGTTTATGTTCTTTGCCTGTTTTTGATTGGATTGTTTGTCATTTTGTTGAGGTGTTACATTTTCCATATATTTTACAGATTAGACCTTTGTCAGATATATCCTTGCTGAAATTTTTTTTCCCAGTCTGTAGGTTCTCTCTTTATTATTCTTGTTAAGTCTTTTGATGTGCATAAATATCTCATTTTTGCCCCAGTTATCTTGTTTATCTTCTGTTGTTTGTTACCTAGTGCCACTCTGACAGGAATATACCACAAATGGGATGCTTGAACAAACAGGAGTTTATTCTTACAATTTGGAGGCTTTAAGTCTGAGTTCAAACTGCCAGGCTCTAGGGGCTGGGTGAAAGCCCCTCAATCTTGGGCTTTAGCTCTGCCTCCTGCTCCCGGCCCACTACAGCTATAGAGGCATCTCTTCACTCAGGCAGCTGCTAGCTGCTGAGGCTGACAAGCCCAAGGTTGACAAGTAATAAGGCACAGTCCTGATGTTACCAAACCACATGGAAGGCCATTAATTTAAGTCCACTGAAAGTCCCAAGGTTGGCAGAGCATGGCAGGCTGCTGAACAACAACACGGCTACATGCAGGGTTCAAGCATGCCATAAACTAGAGACCGTTCCCAAAGCTGTATCTTATGCATGGGAAGCAGATCACAACCCTAAAGCAGCTACTCAGCTGCTTGTGGTAGATCCCACCATGGAGTTGACTGCCAGTCTCATCATGGGGAATAACTACCACCAGCTGCCCAGCCACTCAACCAGGCCCAACCAATTTGACATAAAACTTTAACTACCACAGTGCATTTTGTGGTATGTTTGGTAGTACATATGCCATAAATTAGGACCACTAGCCTTGTCCCTATGTTATCTTCTAGGAACTTTCTATTTTTAGGTTTAACATGTAGGTCTCTGATCCATTTTGAGTTTGTTTTTGTGAATGGTGTGAGGTATGGAACCAGTTTTGCCAGCACCATTTGTTAAGAGACTGTCTTTTCCCCATCGAATGGACTTCAGCCTTTTGTCAAAGAAACTGTTGACAGGTGGGTGGAGTCACTTCTGGGTTCTCAGTTCCATCCCATTGGTCTTTGTGCCTGTTATTCTGCCAGTACCAGGCTGATTACCGTGGCTGTATTGTAAGTTCTGAGATTGGGATGTGTGAGGCCTCCTACTTTGTTCTTCAATAATGCTTTAACTATTTAGGACCTCTTTCCTTTCCATACAGAGTTGGAGATTAGTTTTTTCCATTTCATTAATGTTTTTGGGATTTGCATGGGGATCACATTGTATCTACAGACTGCTTTGGGTATTATGGACAGTTTCACAATGTTAAGTCTTCCAATCCATGAGCATGGTATGTTTTCCCATTTATATAGGTCTACTTTAGTTTCTTGCAGGACTGTCTTGTAGTTTCCCTTGTTTAAGTCTTCCGCATCTCTGGGTAGGTTTATTCTTATCCTTTTGAGGGTACTGTAAATGGCATTGTTTCCTTCATCTCCTTTTCACAATTCTCCTTGTTAGTGTAGAGGAACCCAACTGATTTGTGTGGGATCATCTTGGACTCTGCCACATGGCTGAACCCTTCTGGTAGTTCCAGTAACTTTTTCCTGGAATCTCTGGGATTTCCTCAGTACTTTCTTCCTTTTTAATGTAGGCATTGACACCTATACCTTGCACTTTGAACATGGCTTTTCACTGTGTCCCATAACTTTTGATATGTTGTGCTTTCATCTTCATTCAGCTCTTAAGTATTTTCCCGATTTTGTCCTTGACGCAATGTTTGTGTTTTTTGACTTCCATATATGTGTATTTTCAGGTTATGTATATTTTCATGCAATTGTAGTCAGAGAAAATACTCTTTTTAAATTGAGCAGTGCTGTGGAGCCTAACACGTGGTCTGTCCTGGAGATGGCCCACGTGTGCTGGAGAAATGTATGGTGTGCTGTGGAGTGTTTTCTACACGCCTGCTAAATCCAATTGGTTTACAGTACCATTCAGGTCCTTCACGCCCTTTTTGATCTTCTTTCTAGATGTTCTGTCCGTTGTTGAAAGTAGTGTCGGGAGGTCTCTGTTAGAGCTGTTTTTCCCTTCAATTCTGTCAGTGTTTGTTTTCTGTATTTGAGGCTGATTTTAGGTACTTGTTAATTGTTGCATCTTTTTGATGACTCCTTAGAAAATGCCCATCTTTGTCTCTTATAACAGATTTTGACTTACAGTCTATTTTGTTTTCATATTACAATCATGGCTCCAGCTCTCTCCTGGTTACTGTTCGCATGGAAGATTTATTTTTCTATCCTTTCACTTTTCACCTCTTTGTGTCTTTGGGCGTAAGATCTGTGTCTCTGTAGACAGCATGTAGTTTTAGACCATGCTTAATGCATGCTCTCTGCCTTCCAACTGGTCCTTTGGTCTGTTTATACTCACTGTTAATTACGAAGCACTTCCTTCTGCCATTTTGTGTTGTGTTGCTTTTGTAGTGAACCATTTTGATTCCCTTCTTTCATTTTTTAGATCCTTTTCTTGTGGTTACCATGAATGTAATGATTAAATCAGTTCCAGCCTTAGTCACACACAGGAACTCTAAAGCTGTACTGACGGCGCGTGCCCCTCTCTGGGCTAACTGCATGTTAGTCTAGCCCTTCACAGTCTGTGAGACACGGTGTTGGCTGGGATCCACCTGAAGCTCTGCTTTTGCCTTCGTCAGCCCCACAGGGTCAGTCCACAGGGGGCCTGCACATCTCTGTGTTTCCGGGTGTGCGGATGACCGGGCGCCTGCCTCTGCACACACTGTCATCTGATCATGAGGCACCTTTGGGTGCAGCGGTCCACGCTCAAAGGCTGCTAGGTCAGGTCCATCCGGAGGCTCCTCAGGAGAAAAGCCAGTCAGGGAAAGCCTCTGGAGCAGTTTCCCTCTGGCATCCAGGGGTGACCATGAACTGTTATCGACTTGATAGTAACTGATTTTTGGTTTAAGACGATGGCTCTATGTGGTCACACAGTCAAGTTCAGATCAGCCGGGAGAAATTTAAGTTGAAATTCCCACCTGCAGTCAATCAGGGGTCAGTCCTCTATAGAAGCCTGCTTTCAGTTGTTAGAAAGACTAGCTGGGGAGGTGAGTACATGGTGGAGCCCCACCTGGCCATTTGAGAGCCAGGCTGGGGACTCAGGTGGCCTCCAAGGGAAGTCTTGGAATGGTGAGGAAAAGTCATAAACTGCTGACTCTGAGCCAGCCTCCTGCCTGAAAGGAAGGAGCCACTAACATGTAAACACGTAGACTGTGTCAGGGCCACAAGTGACATAAATCTTCCACAGACACTTCTGGCAGAACCAGAGCAGGACTAACAACTTCGGCCCATGTGCTGTCACGTGAAGAAACTCTTAAGTGGTCCTGTAGCCTCGGGCAGGACCCAGTGGGGAGAAGAGCTAGAGTAGCCCTCTCTGAGGTCAGGCTGACGCCTCAACAGAAGGAACACTGCACATCCAGCTCCTCCTACCCGCCTCCAACCCCGTGTGTTCCCCAGGAACCCAAATACACTCTGTCTAAGGCACAGATGGGCAGGTCAGCTGGAGTCGGGTCAGGAGAGAGGGAGGGAGGCTGCCTTCCATGGGGCCTGGCCACCCCACCTGAGAGGTCCAAATAGCACTTCCTGGGAGCACCAGGCACCCTGTTCTGGGCCCGGGGCCAAGGCCCCTTCCAGGCGAACAGGAGAGAGCTCTTCAAGGCAGGTGATGGTGGCGGCTGGGCCTCCTGGGCAGCAGGGTCCACGGTGAGAAACAGGAAATGGGGCACCTCAGGCTGGCTGATCCTGCAGGAAGTGGAAAGCCCAGACGCCAAGACTGCCCCTGGCACGTGCCCAGAGGCCACCGCCCAGGTTAGTGTGGCCTCCTTGGTCTCTCTCTCTCATTCATACCACACTCGGTTTCTCCTGTACACATCTCTCGTACAGTAACACACACACTCTCTCGCTCTCCCACATACACCACCCTCTCACACACGCTCCACAAGCCCCACAGCGGCCAGGAGCCCTCACGCCCCGAGGGCCTCTCACAGCCAGCCAGGGCTCATCCTCAGGCCTGTGGACTCAGTGCCCCAGGAAGCTCACAGACAGAGGTGACACTGCATCTTCAGTGCGGCCGGGAGGGCGGGGTTCACCCAAATGGTTCGGCAACAGCCCTGTTTCCCAGTGTGTGGAGTAGAAACTGAGAAAGAAGAGCACTAACTCTGAACATGAAAAACGTTCCTGTATTTCCCGCAGAGCTGCGCTCAGGCCTGGGCTGCCCTCAGCACTTCCCGTTGCAGACAGGGCCACGGTCCTGGCAGGGGGCGGGGCTGCAGCTGGAGCTTAGCTCATGAGTTGAGCTGGGTACACACCGTCCTTCCTGCTGAGCTGTAAGAGTCAAAGGGGGAGCTCAGTGGGGCTGGGCCAGGCGCCCCACCCTGTGCACCTCCTCTCGCCCAACACTGACACCAGTACCTGGTGGTCCTGTCTGGGGGCCACACTGGGCTTCTGGGCCAGGGGTGGCTTCTTGGAGGCCCCGCTGTGGGGGCTGGTGCAGGGCGGCCACGGCTCCTCCTCACCGGGTGTGGCCGCCCCACCAGCCAGCGTGTAGTGCCGCTTCCGCAGCTCCCCCAGCCTCACGCGCTCTGCTTCCAGGGTCTTCTCCAGCTCCAGCACGCGCACCTGCAGCCCGGACAGCCAGCTCAACACGGCCCAGCCTCCCCTCGGTGCTCAGCCCCTCAGAGGGCCGGGGGGCTGCGGCGCCTACCTGGGACTCCATCTCCTGCTTCTTCAGCTTGATGAGGGACAAGCCGGAGAAGTCCATGGTGTCTGTGGCCAGAGACGAGGGGAGGGCTAAGTGTCTGGGCAGCAGCCTGAGGGGCAGTCCCTGGCGGGTACCACTGGGGCCTCGGCCACTTGCCTCTGTCTTCGATTTGCTCCTGGCCCGACTTGGTGGAGGCCACCACGTTGGCAGCCATCTCATTGACAGAGCGAGAGCACTCCTGCAGATGACTCAAGTGGCAGCTGTGCTTGTTGGCCTTCACCTGGAAAGGGCCAGGAGGTGCTGGTCAGGGGCCCACAGGTGGCCAGCCCTCCCGTGGGCAGCCGGGTGGCTGAGGCCCCGTGTGGAGGAGGTGCTCACCTTGGAGGCGGCCACCAGCTGGGCGGTGCTGGCCGCGATCTCGTGGGAGCACACGATGAGTTCCTCGTACTTGCCCGTGTGCAGCACCACTCTGTCAGCCGACTCCCTGAGGGTAGCAGGGGCTGTCAGGGGAGGGCCGTCCCACGTACAGCGAGGCTGCCCGCATGCCCCAACACCCAGAGGACTTACACCAGCTGCGTGGCCCCCCAACCCACTGCCTTGGAGGCAGAGATGAGGCCCTCTGTCCACCGAGAATTCTTGGCATAAAATTCCTGCTGCGTGGCTGCCCCCTAGTGGCGACAGGAGGACAGAGTGGGTGGACCAGTTCAAGACCCACAGTTCTAAGTATGTACCCCCTTCTTTCCTCTCCAAGCCACCAGGGCCAGGTCCCTGAAGCTGCGCTGGGGGTGGGGAGGATTAGGCCAAGACTCTGAGGCACGTTTTGTGCGAGTTGCTGGGGCATGGGGTGGTGGCAGGTCTCATCCTGCTCAGGCCGTGGGGTGAGGTGGTCTGGGATGATGGGCTCTCACGAGTTTGTCCCTCAGTGCCCTGCTGGGAAGCTCCGCCCGCCCACCGCTCACCCTGCCGCTCTCCACTATCTCCTTCTGCAGACTGGTGGATGTCATCACCAGGAGCCGGATAGCCTGCAGAGACCAAGACGCATGTCACTGCAGGGGGCCGGCCCGCCAGGCCCAGGGGCCAGCGTTCAGCCACTCACCTTCATCAGGTCTGTGCAGGACTGGAGGATCCTGGGAAGAGGCAGGCGGAGGTGAGAGGCAGAGAAGGGGCCAAGCCCCGAGCTGGCTCCCGGGGGGTGCCCTAGGAGACACCAGCCCACCCTACTGGCACCCCTGTTCTGGAACCAGCCAGCCACTGGGAGGGCCACAGGGAAGCCCCCTTATATGAAGGGTAAGAACAGAGTGGACCTCACCTCTCGTTCACCTCCAGCTTCACCCCAGAGCTCGCATGCCGGGCCTGGTTCATCATGTCCTAGACCCAACAGTGGAGCCGTGAGCAGGTCGGGACAGGGACCCTGGTGCTGAACCAGCCCCCAGAGCAGACAGAGAAAGGGAAGAGAGTGCGAGCATGCCGCCCTCACCTCGATCCTCTGCACAGCGTCTTCAATGGCTGCTGATGTGGCCGCCGTCTCTTTGTCCACCATGGCCCCAAGCTCCTCCTGACGCACATCCAGGCTCTTGGGCTTCAGCTCCTGGGGGGAGGGGCAGAGGGACTCTGTCCCTGTCCTGCTCCCCCACGCTTCCCTTCACGCATGCTCCGAGCAGTGCCCACTCACCTGGCCCAGCTGAAGGATGCCCTGCAGGGGTTTCCGCACCAGGCCAGGCTGGGCCTGCAGCACAGCCCCCCGGTCCTGCAGCTGCCCCACCAGCTCCAGGCCCCGCGCCCCACACTCCCTGCACACGTCCATCAGGCCTGAGGGAGAGGGCTGTGAGCAGAGAAGACCTGCACACAGGTCCCCAGCCCAGGGGCCGGACACCTGCAGCCCCCACCCACCCACTGTTCAGGCTACCCACGGTCAGCGTGGTCGGTCGGGGCCAGGTGCGAGGTGGCACTGCCGTTGATGATGGTGTCCGCGGCCAGGTGGGAAAACCGGGTTAGGGCTGCCACCAGGGCAGAGGCGTCTGTGCGGACAGACAGGACAGAGGTCAGCAGGCAGGACAGCTGCACAACCCTGGTGTGGCTCCCAAGTCCTGGCCAGCCCGTCTCTCATTCTCCCTGCAGCTCTTGGGCCTGGGCACCCATCCCCGGCCTGCAGAGGGTGAAGAAAGGAAGGCTGGGTGCAGAAGACGCTGCCCAGGCTCGTGTAGCCAGAGGGGTGAACAGGACCTGAGCTAAGCCCCAGTGCCCCCAAAGACACCTTGATGGCCACGTGACAGCCAGTTTTGAGGGACACCTGGTCAGTGTCCTGAAGAAGTGCCTGTTGTCTGGGTGTTATAGACTGACCTGAGTGCTGTCCATCTAACCTGTGCCTCTCACCCTTTCTGGGAACAAGGTGTGTCTTAACCAATCACGTTTTGAGACGGAGAGCATTATTAGGCCCAGAAGCAAGTACAACGGGAAGACAGATGCCTGGTGGAGAAGGCCCAGGAACCGAGAACAAGACGCGGGCCTTCCCCTGGAGCGGCACCCTGCCTTCGGACTGCTAGCCTCTGAACTGTGAGGAAATACTTTTGTTTGTTAAAGGCACCCCCTTGTGGTATTTCTGTGATGGCAGCACCTGGACGCTAAGACACAGGGAAACCTCCCTGAAAGGCAGGAGATGGACACGGTTGCTGGAGCCTAGACAGGTGGGGGCCCTGCTGGCCCGCCTACACTCACCTGACATAGAGGCCAGGTAGTGGGCGTGGCCATTCTCCAGGGCACTCACGGTGTCCAGGGCGGCCTGGGCTCGGCTCACCAAGTAGTCTGCAAACACAAGGGCCGGTGAGGGCCAGGCTGCAGGGCAGGGACCAGCCAGGCCCTCCCTGGCAGGGGAAAGGCCCACCGCTTGGCGGCGGGCCCTACCTGGGGAGCTGGTGCAGCGCAGGTGCAGGGCGTCATCGAGCTTGCCCACCGCGTCCCGCAGAATGTTCTCGGCCTCGGCGGCAGCGCTGCGCACCACCGCAAACTGTTCGTCCAGGAGCCTGTGCCGCAGCCCCCGCTCCTGAGACTCCTGGCCAGTGAGGGGGGCGGCAGGGCCATTTAGACATGCACCCCCACCCCCAGTGCCTGCACAGCTCAACCCTAAGCGGAAATGACCCAATGAAAACCTGGGCCAATGAGCACATGACAAAGGTGTCAGTATCCACTAGAGAAATGCAAACCGACAGCCAATGAGACAGCACGTCACATTCCCAAGGAGCTAAAGTCAATAAACAAAAAGTGCTGGTGGGAATGTTAAATGGTGCCACTGCTGCAGAAGCCAAGGGGACGGTTCCTCAAAAAGTTAACCAAGGGTTACTGTGTGACCCAGCATGCACTCCTGCTATCTGGCCTAAAGAAAGAAAAACCTATGTGCACGCAAAATCCCGGATGTGAATATTCACAGCCCCTCTGCAGATGACAGATAAACAAGGCAGGCCACCCACACAGTGGCCTAGTCCTGATACACATCCGACAGGGACGGACCTAGAAAACACCAGGACAGATGCTGCATGATCCCATTCACATGAAATAAGCAGCCAGCCAGACACCAAAGGCGGTGAGTGTTGTGAGGGGCAGGACGCCCCGGGGGCTATGGCAGTGGCTGTGGCAATGTCACGAACTGTACATTCAAAGCTGTTGAGACATATGTTTGCTTTGTATGTTTTCACCACAGTAAAAACGAGGAGGGACCCTGTGGGGCCCCGTCCCACTCCGACACCCATGGGTGGCTGTGAGCTGGAGTCTCAGTGGCAGCTGGTTTTGACGCTATGTCATCAGCTACAGCTGTACGTGTGCAGAGACGTCACCCTGTGGGGCCTCCCTTCCTTACAGCCATCTCTCGGCTCAGGGAGAATGGAGGCTGCCCAGAGGCCTGGCTGAGAAATTGCTGGTGATACACCTTCACAAAGGCGTATTACCGCGTGACCTAGCAATTCCACTCCTAGGTGTACACCCAAGGAATTGAAACAGACCCAAACAGACAGGTACACAAACGTGCACAGCAGCGCTACCCACAACAGCAAAGAAGTGGGTACAACCCACACGTCCATCAACAGACGGTACACAAACTAAACCAAACCGACGGCCGTCAGGTGGATTCCAACTCACAGCACCCCTAGAGGGCAGAACAGAACTGCCCCCAAGGCTTCCAAGACTGTAACCTACAGAAGCAGACTGCCTCGTCTTTCTCCTGCAAAGTGGCTTCAAACAGCAACCTTTTGTTAAGCAGCTGAATGCTTTAACCACTCCACCACCAGACCTTTTCTAACAGATGGATCAACAAAATGTGGTCTATCCAGACAGTGGAATACTGTTGTCGTTATATACCGTCGAGTTGTCTCCAACTCATAACAACCCCTCCTTGGGTTTCTGAGGTAGTATCTCTACAGAAGTAGATTGCCCAATCTTCCTTCCAAGGAGTGGCTGGTGGGTTTGAACCACCAACCTTTGGTCAGCAGTCAAGTGCCTTAAGGCACTATGCCACCAGAACTCTCTAGTGGAATACTACTCAGCCATGAAAAGGAACGAAATTCTGACACATGCTACAACATGGATGCACCTCAACAACATGCTCAGTGGAAGAAGCCAGACACAGGCAGCCACATACTGTGATACTACTTCTGCGGAATGTCCAGAACAGAACGTCCTACAGACAGACAGCAGTCTGGTGGCTGCTGCGGCTGGTGACGTAAACTGCTCCTTTGTGGGGTGATGTGAGTGTTCTCACATTGGCTGTGGAGATGCTGTAACCACTGGCCATGTCCTTCAGGGTTGAACTACTGGCTGTGACACTCATCACAGTAAAGGCCTATAGGAAAGCAAGAGTCCCACCACCTTCTCAGCCAGTCGTCCCTGCAGCTCGTCCCGCTCACGAGAGCCACGCTGCTGCTCCTGGTTCAAGGCTGCCAGCTTCTCGCGCACCAGGTCCTGGGCAGCCAGCAGGTCGGCCTCCCGCTGCCGCACGGCGCTGCTCAGTGCGTCCTTCTCTGCGCTTAGCATGGCCAGCTGTGCACTCAGCTCCGACCCACTCTGTGGACAGGGAGCGTGAGTGGGGCCCCCAGAGCCTGCCTACCCCCCAGTGACAGTTCCCAGGTCCAAGTCTTCACAGCCCTCCCCTCTCCCCACACAGAGCTGTGCCCAAGGACCGGCTGAGGGCAACAGGGGGTGACCCCTGAGCCCAGGGGCATCCTGACTTGGGCCAGCTCACAGGAAGAGGGCGTTAACCTGCTCCGTGCGGCTCAGGGCCTCCTGCGTGCGAACCAGCTCCCCGGTCTTGGCCTCCAGCTCCCTCGTCAGCTTCTCCAGCTGGTCGCCCTGCTCTTCCACCTGGGACAAGACAGCGAGTCAGTGGGGCCGGGGCACCGAGGCGGGGCGGGGTCATGCCTAGCACGCACCTTCATCTCGGACTCCCGCCGCGCCTGCGCCATCTGGAAGGCCAGCTGCTCCTTCACCCGTGCCACCTCCTCCTGGCTCTGCTGGGTCACCGTCAGCTGCTTGGCCGTGTCTGCGTTCTGGGCACATGTGGGAGACGCGCTTACTGTCCCATAGCCAGCTCCAAGGCTGCCTGGTTCTGCCCTATACCCACTGCCCCCCTGCTGGGTTGGGGTGGTCGCGCAGGGCCGGGGTCCCGAGCAGGCGGCCCCACCTTTCTGAGCAGCTCCGCATGGATGTTGACAAGCTCGCTGTGCTTCTCCTTCAGTTTGTGGTAGCGCGCCTCTGTGGCACTCGCCTTCTCTAAGGGGGAGAGGGAGGCCCATGACTCCTGGGGGCGGAGGCAGCAGGCAGGCCACACCCCGGGGGCGCTCCCTTGCCGTGGACGGCCCCTCCGGGCGGGCGCACGCACTCTCAGCCTCCTCGCGCAGGCCCTGGTTGCGCGCGCCCTCCCGCTGGGCGGCCCTCAGGTGCTCCAGCTCGTGGCGGAGCTGCTCGTTGTCCACGAGGGCCTTCTGCTTCCGCTTCCGCTGCTCCTCCAGCTCCGCCTCCAGCACGTTCACTTGGCCCTTCAGCTGCGCCATGTACCGCTGGGCCTGGGGCGGAGGCATGAGGCCTGGGGGCGCCGCTCAGCACGACCCCACGCCTCCCCCCGAGCCCCGGAGCCACCCTCACCTCCAGCTTGATCTTCTCCAGCTCGGCACGGAGTGCCTCCACCTCTCTCCTCAGGCCTTCGATCTGCAGGTCCCTGGGGACAGAGGCCAGCAGGGCTCACCGAGGCCCTTCCAGGACCTAGCTGCGCATCTTCATCCTCAGCCGCCAGGTGGCTCGGCCCCTTGTGAGTCCTTGTCCTCATCTGGGGTCTTTCCAGTCACCCTAACCCCACCCCACCAGCCCCAAGCCCTACCTGTCATCCTTCGTGGAGCCATTAGGTGGTCCAAACGTCTGCTCAAAGAGGTCGGCCACCACCTGCCAGACCAAAGCACAGTGATCCTTGGTCCACGCTCCTGCACCCAGGCCAGGAGAGAGCGGGGCAGAGAGCAGTCCCAGGGCCCTGCTGCCCCTGGCTGGAGCTGGCGGTCCTTGTTGGGGGGCCAGAGGGGAGATGGCGTCTGCTCACCGCGGGCTCCTTGACAGGGGGCCCCGTGCTGATCTCGATGAGGTTCTCAGGCTCCTCATCCTCGGGGGCCTCCTCGGGGACGACCACCACAGGCTTGATGTGCTCAGCTAGCGCCGAGGCCCGCAGGAAGTCGGGGGGGCCCTGCCGTGTGGGAACTGCTCAGCTGTGTGGTCCCCTAAACCGCAGACCCCGGCAGCAGTCGGGAGGGTGTGGGGGGGATGGCCTTGGGCAGGGCAGGGGACAGCCCCAGGCAGGGCAGGGGTACCTCAGGCAGCCGGGGGATCTGAATTAGCCGCTTGAAGTAGAGCATGTCAGAGGCCCGCCGGAAGACATTTCTGAGGCTGGAAGGGAGTGGAGGTTACCAGGCAGGCTGCCCCTGCACAGCACCGGGAGCCCAGCGCCTCTGCCCGCCCACCTGCCATACCTGTGGAATTGCTCATGGAACCTGTCCCGGTGGCCTTGCAGGGTGTCAGCCGGGAGACCTGGGGACATGCAGGATTACCGTCATTAACTAGAAACCCGTGACTGGGTCTACCCGCCCCGCTCGGACACAACACCAAGAGTTCAGCTGTCAACGTAAGTGAGAAAGACTGTCTGTTCCCGGCTTTGGGATGCCCTGGGAATCACACTCGCCCTGGGCTGAAGAGTAATGGCTTACACCCCTGAGGCGGGCGGCTCTCATGCAGCCCGGGGCCTGTGAGGTCAAGCCTGTCTTCAGAATACTATGGAGCTGCCGTCTGCCATCCCTCACACCTGTGCCCACAACTTGACTTAGGGGCACCAGTGGCCATTCTCCTCAGCTGGGCATTGAGAGATTCGCAAAAACAGGACAGTGCTTCCGTCAAAACAGGCTTTCGGTTGGAAAATACAAACTCTTTAACAGGGAATGACCATGTGATCATTATTCTATAATTAAGCATTTTTAAATGTTCTATTTCTAGTGTGAAATTTCTGAACAATGCGGTGTTATCAGCCACAAGGCCGGGGGCACCACCCAGCCTGGGAGCAGCCCAGCGACTCACACGCGTGCAGCTTGAACATGAGCTTGACCGTGTAGTGGTAGAGAGGGCTACAGTCCTGGATGACCTGGATGAGTGGGGCCAGGCGGCACTGGCCCGAGGACATCTGGGACACGGCAATGGCTGCATTGAGTTGCCGGAAAACTGCCGAGAAAAGGGGGTGGGCGTGAGGACGTGAGCCCAGTGGGCAACCAGCCTGCTCCCTGAACCCTCACCCCACCTGAGGAAGGTGAAGGCAGGCAACAGCCCGAGCAACTTCACACCATCCAGTGGGGCCTGAACCAGGCTTTCTGAACCCCACATGCTCCCATGTGGGACCACAAAATGGGGACCCATGAGCTCAACTCGGTCACCTCCCTGGCACTGGGCCTGGGACAAGGGGCTGGAGGGATGGGAGTGTTAGTGTGAGAGGAACAGCAGGGCAACCCTGAGACTGCCCAGCCCTGAAGTCTCCCTGGATGACGTGGACACAGGCCCAGGCAGAGGGTCAGGCGCTCGCAGTCCCACGAGACTTGGAGTCAGTCTCTCCTGCCCTTGACAATCAGGCCCTTGAGCAGATCTACTGAGTAGGAGAGAAATGGACAAACATGAGTTGGCCTCCTCGCTGAACCGAGAAAGAGGTGACGCAAGGCAGGCAGCAGGCTAGGGTGGGCGAGCAGCTGGAGCCCAAGCTGCACTCGCGCCAGAAATGCACTGCCGTCAAGTAGACTCCAACTCAAAAGTGCCCCTGAAGGACAGAGCAGACCTGCCCTATAGGGCCTCCAAGGCTGTAAATCTTACACCAGCAAACTGCCATGTCTTTCCCCTGTGGCAGTCGAATGCTTGCACCACTGTGCCACCATAGGTCCTAGGTCCTTAGAGTAACTGAGTTCTACAACAGCTGGCTCCATGTCCTCAGACCCAGCACTTCGCCGCCTGGCCAGGGCAGGGAAAAGAAGACACCACACCAGCCCTCTCTTTTTGTAAAGGAGGCCCTGGTGGCAGCAACGGTAACCACTTGACCGCCAGGGGACAGGCTGGCGGTTTGAACCCACCCAGAGGCCCCTCGGAAGGAACACCTGGCAGTCTGCTTTGGGAAGGTCCCAGCCTTGAAATCTCCATGGAGCAGAGTTTGGCTCTGGCCGCGCGGTGTCTCCGTGAGTCAGAATCGACTTGGCAACAACAAAAGCCCCAAGTGGGGTTTTGAGCACATGCCATTCTGCCCTTTGCTCCGTTTCTCTCAGCAGAACTGTTTCCAGATCCTTCCCTGTCAGGCCGTTTGGACACATCTCCCTCATTCCCTAGACCAGGCAGAGCTCACTGCAGCCGTTTCTAGGACATTTAGGACAGCTCTGTGTTTTGCTGGTACAGAGCAAGTGGCTGGGAACATGCGTGCACTCTCCGCCCACGAAGATCTGGCACAAGAACCCTGGGTGTGCCTCTTCTGCACCCCAGAAAGGTGCCAGTGTCACTGGGAGTGAGGTGCTCCCTGTGGGTTCTCCCCATCCCCCCCTTGCCCTTCCCTTCCACACAGGGCCAGCCGGGGTCCTCGGTCCCCCACACAGCTCAGGACCACACCGCGCCCCCCCCACCTCCCCGTGTCTCCATCCCCTGCTTCTGCCCTTCCCTTCCACACAAGGCTGGCTGGCGTCCTTGGTTCCCCGCGTAGCTCAGGACCTCCCCCACCATGTTGCCAGCTGCTCAGCCTCCTGGGCAGAGAGGCCCCACCCACACCCACCCCGGGCCAGATGGGAGAGCAGACCAGGACCAGGGAGGTGCCGGGCCCAGCTCCACCTCCCTGTGACTCCGGGAGACATTCCCTTAAAAAGGCCTTGGCATCTCCTGGGAGAACTGAGTCACCCACACATTATTTTCAAGCTTCCACCCAAACCATCACCTCTGCAGACCCAGATGGGAGGGCAGAGGTTTCCTGCCCGCGTCCAGCAGGAAGGCCAGCATGACTCAGACGGTTTGTACACTGAACAGGCACAGAGGCCCAACCACCTCACCGTGGATGCGTGGCGGAGGCTGCCAGGACGGGAGGGCTCTCCACTTGCCCACACCCTGCACTCCACCTGACTTGGGGCCAACAGCAGGATGCCCCCTGTACAAACCCTTGGGGGCATCCTAGGGCTTCCCTCTGCTCTGTGCATTTCTGAGGGGCAGTGAACTTCGAGGAGTGGCTGCATCTGAGCACATTAAGGTGGCTGAGCCTGGGTGGGCCTGCAGGCCACTAACAATGCTGACTGACTCACCTGACTCGGAGAGCTTCAGCTCACAGTCCATGTAGTCAAACATCTCCACGGTGAGCTGGAAACTGGGTGAGGAGGGAGGGTGGGCTGAGGGTGAGGAGGGCCGGACCCACCACTGCCCGAGAGCCTCGAGGGCGAGCAGAGCTGTCAGGAGACCCCCAGGGAGAAGAACCAGCCCTGCCTACAGCACCTCTGCCTCCAAATTAGCCCCATCCCCAACTTCAGCCTCCTTCCGGGCCTCACTCGCAGACAGTACCAACAGAGGTGAAACCCTGAGCGAATGGGGAAACCGAAGGAGGGAGGGCCCAGGCACAGAGAACTTCCTTAAGACACTGCCAGTCAGCGGGACCAGTGCCTCTGAGAACTGGGGTCAGGGACCTGCAGGACCAGGCCATATGAAGCCCACGCCGACACCCTCCTGTGCCCGGGACTCACATGTTGTTGACATCGGTTCCCGCTGCCTTCTCCAGCACCTCGTCTGTCACCTCTAGGCCCGCAGGAAACTGGGGGTGCTGCAGAGAGAACACCCACCTGCCCAGCTGGCCCAGCTCTGAGAGGCACTCAGGAGTCCCTGCGTCACAGCCCAGAGCGTGTGCCGAGGGCTGGAGCGGCCCCAGGGCAGGACACGGAGCCCCCTGCCCCCAGGGCTGCAGGACATCAGCACTGGCTGCTCCCTGAGGCCCACTGGCGAGACTGGGCAGTGGGGCAGAGGACGGGGGGGTGTGGTGCACAGAACCGATCCTACACCTGCTACACCCCAACTTGTCCCCAGGGGTCACAGAGGGAAACGCCCGAGTCGCCAGGAGCCCAGTGGGTCTCTCCCGGCCCACGATTCTCCCAGGAGGCTACCTTGAGGTGGAAGGAGATTTTGGTCAGCAGAAGCCTGGTGTATACGCTCACCAGCTGCCCATACCGGTCGTGCAGATGTCCCTGTGGAGAAGAGAGCCCGGGAAGGGCCCGGTGCTTTAGGGCAGACAGGGACACGGAGGCAGGAGGAGCAGTCTGAGTGTCATTCCTTGGCCCACCCGCCCGCCTGCTCACCCACCCGCCTGCCTGCTCACCAAACACCTCTAAACCCATCAGATGCTCCTGGCTCTCTCCCCTTCCGAGGCTGCCACCAGACTCCGTGTCCCCATCGTTCTTACAGTGTTCTCCACGGCTAGTCCTCGCTCGTGGTTCTTAACGTTTCCAACTCTCTGCTCACATCACCCATCTGTCCTTGCCCACTTTGCCACAATAGCCCTCAGCATGTTAGCCATAGTTCTTTGAAATTCCTGGTCTGACATCTGCAGAATTCTCCCATCTCCCTTGTAGCTGCCCCACAAAACCAAAAGGCCAAGCTGGCGGCTGCTGTCAGCTCTGACCAGGGGCCCTGCGTGTGCAGAGCAGGACGGCCCCACAGGGTCTGAGAGGCTGTCACCTTCCTGAAGCAGATCTCCAGGCTTCCTTCGGAGGTGCCCGAGTGGTCTGAACGGCCCTCTGTCCAGCTGGCAGTTGGGCACTCCTGGTTGCCCTCACCATCCCCAAGCCCTGAGATACTCTGTCCTAAGCTCACTCCTTGCATCTCAGCGTGGGGGGCGGTCTCTGCCGGCAGCGTCCCCCCTCCCCTTCACCTGTTACAGTGCTTCGATTTCTAGCCCTTTACTTGATCAGGACTCCTTCTTAGTTTCCCTCCTTGTAGTTGCCAAAGCAGCTCTTTGAGAAGAGACCTCTGTCCCAGGGCCACAGGCCAGCCCGAGGTGGGACATTTTATTGGCATGCCAGTGGGCAGAGGGAAGGCACATTCCGACGGTGTGTCATGTCCTCCCAGCAGCCTTCTGACACCCTGCCCACCTCCTGCAAACACACCATGTCCTCTGAGGCCGCGCCAGCAGGATTCGTGGCTGTCCAGGACACGGTGGACGCCACTCTGCTCGCTTCCAGTGCTGTCTGTTTACCCGGGAGCTCAGGGCCCCTGCCGGCCTCTGGCCCTCTGCTGCACACCCACAGCAGGGCTCCAGGACTTGCAAACCTCACTGGTGGAAGAACCACCCAGACGCTTCCTGAGAACGTCAGTGTCCAATCACAAGCAAGTCTACGGCAGTGGCAGGGGACGTGCTGGGTGTCCGTGCCGTCACTCGGGACCACGACTGCCTGGCTGACCCCACTCACAGGGACACCAGGACCACAGGGCCCGGTGACTCCAGACTCCAAGCCCCAGGGTGCTGCATTTGGAACTCCAGTGCCAGGCCTCTGATGCAACCCTGCAACTCATCCCGAGGCTCGCCCTTCCCCCACTCTCACCCCAAATCACATCATGCTAACTCTGTCTCAAGAGGAAGGAGAGCGGTCCGTGTGCTCACGTGGGCCCTGCCCTCCGAGCGTTCTCCAGCTGCATGACCGTCACTCCCGGCCCCCATGCCCACCCCTGGCACCTACCCACAGGTCCCCGATCTCCCGGATGTTGCTGCGATACCGCTGGCAGTCATGCACAACCTGTGACGAGAGCAGGGGTGGAGGGTGAGGATCGAGAACTCTGGCCCCACGCCAGCTGGCAGGAGGGACACGGGGACATGGGAAGGCAGTGGGCAGGGCTCTCTGGGACGTGCACCCAGGGGGCTGAGCGTCTCCACTCCAAGGGGCAGCCTTCTCTCGGGCCGGGGGTCCTGACTCACGTTGGGGTGCCCGTCTCGCAGGACCTTGTGCAGCACGTGACACAGCTTCCAGCTGAGGATGGGGCTGCTGGCCAGCGGCAAGCCAATGGCATAGGACCAGAAGGTGAAGGCCCCTTTCTCATGGTGCGTGCCCAGGATGATGCCTGCTGGGTCAAGGCCCACAGAGCAGAGACTTGTGCAGAGGTAGGCGGGTGGGGGTGCTCGGGAGCATACGGGGCAGGGGTGCATGTGGGGACCACCCTAGAGCCGGGCACGGCTCCTCATGGTCACCTCCAGGTCGGCCCCCCCACCCCCAGAGACCACGACCTTCACCAGGGGGTGTGGGGCTCAGGACCAGAAAAAGGGCAAGGTCACAAGTTTAAGCGGGCCTAAGACGGGAGGCTCACAGAGGGTGGGCACAGTTCTCGGCCCCTGCCCAGAGATGGGGAGGGTCTCACAGACCCGTGAGGTGGATGGCCCCAGCAGCTATGCCCAGCATCCCGCTGCCCCCAAGGCCTGGCCGACTGTGTCCTCTCCCGCCCGCCCCGCCCCCTCTTGGCCAGCAGGGAAGGATACGCCGGGCGTGCTTCTCCTTCACAGGTGCCTCCTGGGTATTGATGGCTTTGCTGATGCTGATGGCCTGTGAGTGGATAAGGAGGCCCAAGTCAGAGAGCCACTCAGGCAACCTCCCCGGGGAAGGGACAGCAGACAGGATGGGTCCCACCAGGAAGGCAGGTGTGGAGATGAGGGGGGAGGGCTTCCCTCCGCCTAAGCACAGCCAGGAGGCCCTGGGAATGCAGTTAACGTGCCAGCTGCTGATGGGAAGGCTGTGTTCCAGAGGTCCCTCAGAGAAAAGGCCTGGCAATCTACAAAAAAAGCAGCCACCAGAACCCCGATGGTACGGAGCACAGTTCCCCTGACACACGGGGGCGCCTTGAGTCAAGCACAGCCTGACGACGAGTGCTCTGGAAGCAAAGCAAACCTCTAAGGGACTCTTCCTCTGTGGGTACGGCTATAACTACTGCTGACAGATGCCCCCACCACAGAGCCACCGAGTGCTTGCGTGGGTCCCCGCAGACGTGGGCTTGAGTAACCCTCATGGTCCCCTCAGATCAGCAGGCGTACTGACCTCCTTCCACACACAAGTGCCCATTGTGGCCTTGGCTCATTGAGATGCATAGCTTCTCGCCTAGCGCCCTGCCAGGCCACCAGCTCTGGCTCCCAAACTGGCCCTGGTGTCCCCACCTCCCTCAAGGGCCCAAACTGTGGGCTCACCCCTCCAAGTCCTCAGAGACCCTGGCAACCGGCTCAGCCTCTTATTTCAAAAGCTGAGGCGAGAGCTCCCTGGGTCCAGTCTCTTGGCTGCCAGGCCTCGGCAAACCAGCACGGCCTTCCCAGGCCTGGCTCCTTCCTGGGTCGGGACTCTGACACCCCACCCCCGCCCCGCCTGAACTGGAACTCCATCCGCCCACTGTAGCAACGGGGAGACGAGGATGATCGACAACTTTACCCACTAAAAGCCTACCACACAGGCCTCACGCCTCCTCGCGGTAGTCCCACCATGTGGTTACCACCCCATGTCCTTGATGAGGAAACTGAGGCACAGAGAGGGCGGGGATCTCATCTGTGCAGCTCACAGGTGGCAAAGCCAGGTGTACCTGACGCCAAGACCCATGTCTTCAGCCCAGGCATTGCCTTCACACAGGGCTGGGAAGAGGAGGGTGGGCAGGCCAGCAAGAGCTAAAAAGCCAGGCACACAGCCAACACTCAAACCAGAAGGGCTGCGTCCGGAGTTAATGGGTGGTACAAACGGGTCATGCCTGACTCCTAACCGAAAGCAGAGGCTCCCGTCTGCCCAGAGGCACCAGAATAAAGGCCTGAGGTTTTCAGCCGCTGCAAGCCCCATGGAGCCAGGATCAAGTGGAGCTGTTCCAGAAATGCAGGGCGGGTCAACATCAGCAATCAACCAGGCGACACAGCCTATCAGTCGGATAAGAGAACAGGACCACAGGACCAAGAAGGACAAAGAGAATCAAAGGCTCAGGAAACAATGGCACAAAGAACCAATGGACCATGGGAACCCCAGCCTCCATGACCCTGAGACCAGAAGAACTAGATGGTGCCTGGCTATCACTGCTGACCACTCTGAGAGGGATCCCAATAGAAGGTCCCAGATAGAGTGGGAGAAAAGTGTGGAACATAACTCAAAATCATAAAAAAAGACTAGGCTCAATGGTGTATGAGAGCTTAAAGTATGAAACACTTGGGGGTGTAGAAGGTGTGGTCTGCAGTGGGAGCCCCAACTCCATTTGAGGCTTGGCATAAGTTGCAGATGCCATCTGGGTTCTTCCTGAGCGTGAACCAGCGTCGCGGCTGTGCACAGACGAGGTCCAGGGCAAGCCTGGGAGCGGTGGTTTGCCCTCAGGAGGAGTGGGGTGAACGGAGATGGTGTTCACACAGGGAACTGGGGAACCTGCCCGGGAGGGTCCTTTTCTGATTTACATCAAGGTTGGGGTCTCGGTATTGTCTGGAAGCCGACTTGTGGCTAAGGCTCAGGCTGCAGGGTCATGAGTCACAGCCTGTCCGGACCACCACCTCGCCAGGAAGGCAGGCCCAGGGCCAGCACGGTAAGGCTTTCCCAACTTCACACCCCAAACATGGTCTTTTCCTGGTTCTGCAGTCCCACCTGTAACAGTGACGAATCGATCTACCATCAACCACGGTTTTATGAGTCCCCTTTTTCACAATCATATATAATTAGACGTGGCCGTGACTCAGCAGACTCCACTCAGCCTTCTCACGCCGACGTTGCCCTCGTCCTGGATGAGGGTCTTTGTCTTGTCTTTGTCCTGTCCAAGGCTTACTAAACGTGTCTCTATGGAACCTATTGGAATCTGGGGTCTCTTTTTCCCTATTATATTGGTCTCACAGAGACTGGTGGAACCCTTGAGACTATGACTCCTGGACACCCTTCAGGCCTGGAACTGAGCTCACTCCCATGGTTCAACTTTCAGCCAAACAGACAGGCCTGTAAGGTGAACACCTGGGAGGTGTGCACTCCTCAGAACAATCAACCATCCCAAGTCCAAGGGCAGCATGTGCCCAGGGATGAAGCTCAGAAGGCAGGAAGGAACAGGAGAGAAGGACCAAGGGAACCCGAACCACAGGGAGGAAGTGGGAGGAGTTCTTTGCATTCATTGGGGGGGGACCGTGATCAAGGTCAGCAAACAAAATGTGAATGCATTTACATATGAATGGGATTTAAATATGAACTGTTGAACGGAAAACCAGTTTGCTCTGTAAGCTTTCACCCAAGTCCCAATAAAAAGTTAAAAAAGAAAAAGAATCACACAACTGAGATCATCTCAATCAATGATGAAAACGTATTTGACAAAATTCAATCCTCATTCATGAAAAAAAAAAAAGAAAAATCAACACTCAACACGATAGGAACAGAAGGAAGTTCTTCGACCTAACAAAGGGCAATTAGGAAAACACAGAGAAACCAGCACATCACACTCCAGGAGGGAGACTGGGGGCTTTCCCTTTGAGGGCAGGGACGGCCGCCTTCACCACTGCTGGTCAACCTTGTTTGAAAAGCCCTAGCTGAAGCAATCAGGCTCCAAAAACAAATAAGTAAAAGGTATCCGAAAACCAGGAAGAAGGAATAAAACTATCCCTTTGTGCAGGCGGCATGATCCTATACAGAGAAAACCCCAAGGATTCTACCAGAAAGCCATCGGAACTAATCAATGAATTCTGTGAAGTGGCAGGTTGCAAGGTCAACAGCCAATCAGCTGCATTTCTACACAGTGGCAGTGAGCACTCTGAAAAGGACTAAGGAGATCATTCCATTTATAATAGCATCTAAAAGAGTGAGATACCTAGGAAGATGTTTAATCAAAGCGAAAGACCTGCAGTCAGCAACTATAAACATTCTAAGAGAAATCAAACAACATGAGTAAGAGGAAAGACAGTATGTGTTCATGGATGGGAAGGGCTCCTACAGCTCAGGTCAGTACCACCCAAAGCCACCTACAGATCCAGTTGTTGTTGTTGTTATGTGCCATCGAGTCAGACCTGACTCACAGCGACCCCTCCCTTGGGTTTCCGAGGCAGTATCACTACGGAAGTAGATTGCCCCATCTTCCTTCAGATCCGGTAGGTCCCATCAAAATTCCAACAGCCTATTTGCAGAAATGGAAAGGGCAGTCCTCAAACGTATAAGGACCCAAATAGCAAAGCAATCTTGAAGAAGAATAAAGCAGTAACACTCATATTTCCTGATTCCAAAACATATTACAAGCGACAGTAATTAAAACAGTCTGGTATTTGTAAAATAACAGATATATAGAACAATGGAACAGAACTGGAAGTCCATTAAAACAAAAAAAATCTATACACCTATGGAACCAGAGGGTGCTCTGGTAGCACAGTACCTAAGGCATTTGACTGCTAACCAGCAGGCTGGCGGTTCAAACCCACCAGCCACTTCTCAGAAGGAAGGTTGGCCAATCTACTTCTGAAGTGATACTGCCTCGGAAATCCAAGGAGGGGTTGCTGAGTTGGGTCTGACTCAACGACACATAAACAACAACAACAACTCTAATAGACAGAAGCTTCAGCAGAAGACAAACCAGAGAGATCGGGCCTCGTAAAAATTAAATCCTTGTTCACCAACGTGAAAGACAACCCACAAAGTTGGAGGAAGCTTTGGAAACTATTTTTCAGATAGGGACCTAACATCCAAAGTATAAATAAAACTTCTACCACTTGACAACAAAAAGAACAAAAAGACAACCCAATCACAAAATGGGCAAAGGACAGGCAGTTCACCACGGAGGAGATCCAAGTGGCCAAAAGGCACGTGAAAAGATGCTCAACATCATTAGCATTAAACCAAACTCGAAATCAAACCCATGGCCATCAAGTCGGCTCCGACTCACAGAGACCCCCGCTGCGTTTCCAGCGCTGTAAATCTTTACAGAGACTGACTGCCTCATCCTTCTTCCATGGAGTAGCTGGTGGGTTCAAACCACCAACCTTATGGTTAGCAGCCAAATGCCTTAACCACTACACGCCATCAGAGTCCCCACAATGAGATACCACCTGACTATTAGCAGAATGGAAGTAATAATAATTAAAAACAGAAAACAGTAAGTGCTGACAAGGTTGTGGAGAAACTGAAACCTTTATCCACAGCTGGTGGGAATGTAAAACGGTGCAGCTACTGGGGAAACCAGTTTGGTGGTTCCTCAAAAAGTTTAACATAGAACTATCATATGACTCAATCCTAGGTACAGGTACCCAGAAATGAAGGCAGGAACGTGAACAGAAACTTGTACACCAGTGTTCACTGTGGCACTTTTCACAATAGCCAAAAGGCAACCAAAACAGTCATCATCAAGAGATGATGGATAAAGAGAATGTAGTTCACACACACAGTGGACTACTACTCAGCCATGAACAGGAATGAAGACCTAACGCTGCCACACATGGAGGAACCTGGAGGATGTGATGCTGAGTGAGAGAAGCAGTCCCCAAGGGGCAAGTACTGTATGATCCCACTTAGATGAAATAAAAGCAAATACCCAGAAACCAGAGACTGTTAACAGTTACCACGGTGGGAGGGAGGAGGGA